CAAAAAAGCTGAATATATTTTACAGCCCAGATTTATCCTTAAATAGTCACATCACACAAGCTGTTTAAAAGATTGAAAATTGATTTTTTTAAAAAATTCAGTAGGCGATGATTAAAATCTCATCTTTAGAAGAGCACAGAAATGACGCATAATGAATTTCAAGTTCCAAGTACCTACAGTCTAATTACAGACGCACCTTTTGCCAGCACACAAGTGGTCAGAAACTGTTATAACAGTTGGAGGTGATGACTAGATCGGGAAAAGCATACTTCACCAAAAATAGAGGACCAACTTTCACAATTTTTTCCCAAAAGTTTCTGATGTTCAACTCAGGAGAGACGAACAGCATTTAATGACTGCAACAGATATCTAGTTCTTTCTTTTATGGATTCCTGTTCCTGCCTTATTTTTGCTTATGTCTTTTAAGATACTTATGCTTATTTAGAATTTCGGTTCTAACCATTACACTAATTCTGCATCAAAAGTTGCCATGAGTAAGAGCTGACTCAATGACAACTAAAACAACATTAACAAGAGATGTATTTAAAGGCTTGGATAATATGCACACAACTCTTTACAGTGGTTATTTTTGAAGGTGGATGGCATTTCACTTTATTTTATTATGTAAAATATTGGAAAAACTTTGGATGAGGAAAAATAGAGAGGGGGATTATCAGATACTGACTCATTTTCTAGGTAAACAGTATTTGCTGAAGGATACTTTTGCTGTAGCCATGATGAACATCGATATTCTTGGCAATCCAAGACAAAGCTTCAAGAGGATCTTGACCATTCATTCCTGAGCCCTGGTCTGAGATTTGACTATGAGCCAAGCTCAGACATCAATCCTCTTTTACTCCTCAGGGTACACAAAGAGTCAGAGGGACCAAAGCTCCTGAAGGCATACCTTCTGTTCATTTGTTCTTTTTGGCCCGGGGTTCCAGTGTATTGCTGAGCACCCAACTCCCCTTCCTCCACTCACAGATGTCTGTATAGTTGCAGGTGCGGCACTTCCAAGCTTCCTCCACATCAACACCTTGAGGCTCCCTGTGACCCATCCAGTAGGCCAGATAGTGCCGCACCCTGTCTCTCATCTCTTTCTCTTCAAAGGCAATAATCTCTGTACCCAACACAGTGGCAGTCTCTTGGTGTATATATTCAATCTTCAGGATATCAATGACTGGAAGGTCAGATAGTGTGAGAGCTAAAAATACCAGCTCCATCAGGTCACCTAAGCACTTCACAAAGATGCCTCCCTGCTGTGCATGCGTCAGCACTGAGGGGCCCAGTGGCTTTTCTGGACACAATTTTGTGTGGTGGATAAGGCTAGCAGGAGTCACTTTCCCTTGTACCATGGCATCAAAGATAAATTTGTATAAGCTGACTTGAAAACAATCTTTCTTTTTCTGACCTTCCAGAGGGAGTGTAGGACGCCTACGGGTCTTGAGTTCAGCCAGTTCCAGTTCCCCCTTGACTGTATAGTGCAGCTCATCAATTACCCCAACAAGAAGCACACCCTCTACTTCCCCAAACACAGGAAACTCTCTGATGCATCCCTCTGATTGCAGCGTAGGAATCATTGATAGTATGTTCAGGAACTTTATTGCCCAAGCATCTTCTGTAGTGGTGATGGGAACAGTCACAAGATCATGAACTTCTAGTTCTCGAGCTAGGTGGATGCTAGCACCAGTGTCCAAAACAGCTGCTTTCTCAGGTGCTAAGAAGTCAGGAAGCTCCTTCCCATATACCATTTGCTGTTCACACCAGTTTTGAGCAGACAGGTCAGTGACACACAAGTATTTAAAGTGGAATCGCTCCAGGGGTGATGAGATATCCAATCCTCTTTTCCGTTTCTGTAAGCTTAGAGGCTTGCCATCATTCCCTGAGAGTTCAGAAGAAGGGCCAGGCTTGCTAAGTAGAGCATCTGACCCTTGGGCATCTTCCAGGTCTAGGAACTCTGAGTCACTGAGGTCTGAGAACCCTGAGGCCTCTGCTGACACCTTCTCCTCTTCCCCAGTCTCTGCCATGGCACAGCTCTGGATTGGGCAAGGAAGGTCCTACGTAACAGGTTAAAAAAATGTATTATACAAATGAAAAATTTCTCAAAAGTATATTCAAATATCAAGCAGGTAAAGAGAATCAGGATTAGTTATTTACAAGGCTTTATCAAAGCCTACTTATTTATGATCAATTAGTAATATCATGGAATCCTGGTGTGGCACTATGAGTTAATGCGCTGGACTGCAAAGTTGGTTTGAACTGCAAGGTTGGCAGTTCAAGCTCACCAGCCGCTCCTTGGAAACCCTATACACTTAATAACAACAATAATAATATGACAGAATTGTACCTCAATAAAGGTACACTTTACAAAAGGGTGACTTGTGCCATCCATAAGGGTCCCCAGGTGGTACAAATAGTTTGTGCTTGACTGTTAACCTAAGACTGGTGGTTTGAATGCACCCAGGGGATCCACAGAAGAATGGCTGGGCAATCTGCTTCAGTAAATGTTATAGCTAAACCATCCCTATGCAGCAGTTCTACTCTGTAACACATGAGTTTGAATCAACTCGATGGAAATGACATTAGAATTTTTTTGTTTTGTTTTTGTTTTCAGTGTTATCCATATAGGTTCAGTTGGAATCATATTTTTTAAAGTGGAAAATGAACATACTATGTGACTTTAAGCAAATTACCTTACTTGACTTCAATGCCTTTAGATTTAAATAGACTTGAGGTTCACCTTTTTCTGTAAAAATTCTACTACTGGAATATGGTTTCATTATTTTAAGTGAATCTTTGCAAATGTTGAAGCAATATTTGACACTTTTGCTATGGGTCATTTCTATAATTATCTTTAATATAGAGTCCTTGACTAGGAAAATAAACCTCAATTACACAGATGGCTTCTTGAAAAAAAAATTAACTCTGAAATTACTTAAATCCAATTCTCAAGAATACAGTGTGGTAAAATCCAATAATAAACTACAACTAAATACAAATAGATCTATTCATACACAAAATGATAGATAACATGAAGTAACACAAGAGATGATATTCATTGCAACCTGTGGACATCAGTTACTTGTCACACTTGTGGTAGATTAAGAAAGTGGCAAGGATCCTCTTGGTGGGTTTTAACTTATCTTCATTGACTTTGTTGTTGTTGTTTGTCATGGAGTTGGTTCCGACTCAAAGTGACCCTGTACAGGGTTTCCGAGGCTGTAAATTTTTACGGGAACAGAAAGCCTCATCTTTCTCCAGCGGAACAGCTGGTAGTTTCAAACTGCTGACCGTGAGATTAGCAGCCCGATTCGTAACCACTATGCAACTTTAAATAATGATTAATATTTATTGTGTAACCGATATATGCTAACCACTGATTCAAGTGCTTCATATCCAACATTCACTACCCTACTATGGGACAGGCACTTTTGTTTTTAACTTTTTACTATGAGAAATTTCATAGATACAGAAAGTAGATAGAAACATCCATGTACATACTATTGAGATGAACAACTGTTGACATTTTGCTGTATTTTCTCCAAGTGTTTATATATCTTTATATTTATATTTCTTGTAAATTATAGACATCCGAACATTTCAAATCTACATGTTTCAACATACATGTCCAAATAACCACAATATTATGATCACATCTAACAAAATTAATAATAATCTCCTAATACCCCAGTCCATATTCAAATATTTGTCCTAAAAATGGCTTGGCCTAAAAATATCTTGGGTAACTTTTGTTTTTTCATAACAAGGAAACAAAAACCACATGCAGGTTTCCCCTGCTATCTGAAATTAGAGAGGGCCTATGAACCCTTTTATTAGTCAAATGGCATAAATTGAAGAAGCGATTACAATTCATTTATTTTGAGCATTTTTTATAGAGCATTCTTGGGCCCCAAAAGCAACCTACCAAATAACAAGTTGTTTGCAAGGCAAGCAATCAAGTTCCTTCAGGACAAATCCCCCTCTAAGACTGAAACTCAAAGGGAATACATGAGCAGGCATGTAAGCTTGCTGGCAACCACACTGTTCTACTGGTGAGTGGAAGAGGGGGAAAGGCAGCAATGAAGAAATGGGCTGAGTTCAACCAAGTTCCATAGACTCCCGTTGACCTGGAAATAAGAGAGAGAAGAGGAAGGGCTGCTTAGTCCAGAGTGTGGTGAGACCTGGGGACACCTGAGCCCATTGACAAGGACATAGCCACAGAGGGCTAGAACTGAGAGTGAAACATACTGCGGATATGAAGTGAGAAGAGACGCACAAGAGCACACAAATTTGCAGATAGTACCCATCTGACCTAGTCTCAATGTCTTGATAATCAGAATTTAACTAGCAGAAGATTGAAAAAAAAAATTCTTTTTTTTTTAATTATAAAGGAAATGAGAGTAAATTGCTACAATTTGATGAACTTGACCTATACTTATGGATGTAGTAGCTCAAAATACCAACCAAGGGGGAAGGGGTCTTCACATCAAGGATCAAGGCTATTTCCTCAGTATACAGGGTTGAAAGGGATGGGCAACTTAGACATAGGTTACCTAAAATGGGGGGATGAGGGGCTAGAAAGGCACAAAGTGGCTGGCTTACAAGTTTTCAAGAAGGAGTTTAGTTTCAGAGTGTGCGGGGCGAAAGTAGAATCCCCACTGAAAAGTTTTCATCTTGTCTAGATGGGTCTGGTGAAAGGAGATGGGGATAGGACTTTTTGATTCAAATAGTGAGTAATTTTTACCATGACTAATTACGATTGTTACAACTGTAAAGATAGAAGTTGTGTAACAAAAAGGGGGAGAAGTTAATTTTACATTCCAGGAACAGAGGACCCCAGGAGCATCAAGAGAGAAGAGCATGAGTGGACCATGGGATCCTAACCAGAGAAGCAACGACACCAGAGATGGAGGCAGAGATGACGGCATGGAGAGGGAGAGCATCTGAGGACTCTAGACTCATGGAAAGAGAAAGATTGTGTGTTGGCATCCAGGAGACAGGCTTGCAGAATGTGCCCTTTGGTTCTTTAAATGATATACATTCCTGAGTGTTTTTGTGTACATCATCAACAACAACAAGAGGGAATAGAAGCAAATATCATTAAATGATGAAGCATGGAAGGGATTGCAATCATTGCAATGAAACAAAATATGATAGGATGAGTGCAAAACCAGTTTTCCCATGTAAACTAGCATTCAATTCACATAAAAGTTTTAAAAATACATATATTGTTGTTGTTGTTATGTGCTGTTGAGTCTGTTCCGATTCATACATAGTCAGACCCTGTATAGGGTTTTCGAGGGGTGGCTAGTGGGTTTCAACCTGCAACGTTGTTCAAACAGACTTTGCAATCCAGTGCATTATCCTTCAGCGCCACACCTTGACTCCCTCATACATATAATGTTGTTGTTGTTAAGTACCGTGGAGTCGGTTCCGATTCATAGCGACCCTGCACAGGGTTTCCGAGGCTATAAATCTTTATGGGAGCAGAAAGCCTCATCTTTCTCCCATGGAACAGCTGGTAGTTTCGAACTGCCGACCTTGAGGTTAGCAGTCTGATTAGTAACCACTACGCTACCAGAGCTCCTTAATACACGTATTAGTATTTAACATATGTACATTTCCTTCCCCTTTCCAAGGAAGAGAGAAAGTGGGTGAATCCGTTCCCTCTGACAAATCAAGTTTAAAGGAAAAGAAACTCCTACTTACCTGGTCTCAGTTGATCTTCTTCTTTAAGGGGAAAGGCATTAGGCTGCGATGGCAACGCTGGGGGGAGGAGATTAGATCTTCATCATCAAGGCACCCAGACTAGTAACTCTGGGTCTCGCTACAATAGGGCAGGGACTTTTGGTCCCCTCTTACTTGAACCATCCCCTGGTGTTTCCTCCTTTGGTTTCGCACTGCACAAACTGCTGCCCACTTTAGATCCTAGGTAACGCTCACCTATCTTCTGGGGCAAGTTTTCATTTTTTTTCCTTATACCTTGGACATAATTCATTGATTCAAGACCTACTCCCTGAAAGTATAAGGGTAAAAAATAACAGAGGCCCTCTAGGTGTACAACATCGTTCTGACCTCTTCCAGCTCCTGCCTCAGCCGAGCAGTTCAGGCTTGAGATCTCAGGCTGCTTTCCATTGGATGCGAACTGCCTCTGTCTTCACCCTCAACATACAATTCGGTGACGCCCGGGCTTGTGAGCTCCTAATTTTCCCATAGCGGGACTCTTTTCTCTGGCCCTAAACTGCTGTCTCCCGGTAGCTCTGTGGAGTCCCAGTTTACAACGTGCTGGAGGAGGCAGACCGACGGGTGACCAATGGTCCCGTCGGGTGTCTGACCAGCGAAGAGAGAAGAGTTACTCTTCCCGGAGCGACTACTCCCTGGAGGAGGCGAGGGGACACGGCGGCCGCAGGGATGGAGCCCTGGACTCCGAAACGAGGCAACTTAAATTCCCGGCCCCTTTTAATCCGCCGAACCCTGGACTTCATGCGGGTATGCCACGGCCCAGAAACTGCTCCTGGACTCCCCCTCACCAAACTAGAAGACGCTGGGAAGTAAGCTCTACCACAAACAGTTTTGGAGCTAGCGTTTTAGCGATAAGTAACGCAGCCCCACCCCTCCCAAGGGCCTCCGCGCGCCCCTCGTTTCTCGCGAGAGTTTGCAATGAGCGGCCTAACGTGGTGTTAGTAAGTACTGTCGTACGGACTCCTAGTGACCATAAAGTTTCCCAGGAGCTGCCAGTGAGATTGAACCACCGACCTTGCGGTCCAGTGCTTCTCCTACAGCGCCACACCAAGACTTCGTCTACTGTGGACTCAGTGTGAAAACCATTACAACAAAAGGGAATGCAAACTCACATAATTCACAATAAAACATTAAAAAAAAAAAAAAAGGGAATGCAGCTATCTAGCCTTGAACTGTTGTGTGCCATCGAGTCAGTTCGGACTCATAGGGACCCTGTTTAGGGTTTCCAAGGAGCAACTGGTGGGTTTGAATCGCTGACCTTGCAATAGAGTGCTTATCCTACAGC